GATTTGGGGAGAACTAATCCTTCAGAGGGTAATGACCGGGTAATTGATGAGGGATTTGAGATCTAACAGCCCTTGACAGCTTGCTGTGCAAAGGGCCCCAGGATGGGTTTTCCTATGATTTCTGTTAGTCCCACAGCTCTCTCCTGCAGGCCCTCTAACTTCTTCCCTTTCCACAGAAACTTCCTTTATCTGAAGCAAGGCCTCATTGGAGGGGGTTAGCCTTTTTTCTCTCTTTCAAATGGGTGGGTGTGGAGTGAGCGGGTACTTGCTTCTCTACTTGATGGACAGGCACACAATGGAGACATGCTGGTGAGACCCCAGCCTCAGGAGAATGGAAACTCCTGGCTGCTCTTCCTCAGGCCTGCCAGGGCATTGAAGGGTCAGAGTAGCAGGGTCTCAGAGAGGAGGCTGACAAACTCTCACCATCCTGGCTGAAGCAAAGAAATTCTGTGCCCCTCCCTTTGGCCATCAGACTGTTCAAACAAAGGACCCCAAGGCATTGGAATTTTCCCAGGAGTCTCACGCTGGGGAAGGGAAAGGCTGAAGCCTGGTGCCAGCCAGAGGGGGAGCTTGTCTCCCAGAGAGATCTCACAGAGTTCTGAGAGCTTGTCAGACCACCTTGCAGGAGAGACTGGAGCTGACAGTGATGGTCAGTGATGGGCAGGACCACGTCTTGGCCAGGACTGCTTAGCTATGCACAGAGCTGCCCTCTGTTTAAGCCTGAACCTCATGTCCGGACCCTGAGGACAGACTCAGGAGTCTCTGGACCTCTTTGTCCCTCTTCCCTATGTGGCTGCACTGAATAACTCTCCTCTGCTTTTCACTGTTACTTGGTGTTTAATTGGCTTGTTGAGGATGGTGGTGGAGCCTGGCTGGTTAGGGCCACCTGAGCCCAGGTTCTGACCCAGACGGTTCTGGGAAAAGTAGACTGGCTGATCGGCTGCTCCACCACACACATGCACTTAGTCAGAAGAATCCATGTTGGGCAACTACTGTTTGTGTGCCCTCACTACTAACTAAGTGCCCACATTTGCTTTCTCAGGTGGGCACTTTGCAGGGTCTAGGAGAGCATTTAAATGTCGAGTTATGAACAGAGCCCTTACTTGGACCTTAGAAGTCATCAGGCTAACAGTCAGGCCACAGAGCTGTCATCAATCTCTTACTGTATGATCTCCAGCAAATCACTTAACCTTTCTGTGCTTTAGGACCCTCATTAGAAAATACACCTCCCGATGACTTCAGCACAGGGAAGCCCACAAATCTTGTTCAGCAGACAAACTTGGGGTCCTGGGTGACAACTCAGTAGGTCAGATATGGTATCCAGGACTTTGCACTTCTTAGTGCTAGGGAGTGAGCCCAGGAATTTGTGGAGGTTAAGCACAGGCTCCTTAGCAAGCTCCCTGAAGGCTTCTGGAATGATGACCCCCACCCTCACTGGGAGGAAAATGAGCAAATGGCCCCTGCCCCCAAGAATCGGCATGGGTGTCCCTTCTGTTCATCTTTACACACACACACACACACACACACACACACACACACACACAGACAGACACACACACACACACACACACACACACGGTCTCTTCCTATTGTCACATAGCTGTTAGGGGGCAGCTGAGATGAACCCCCCAAGTTATTATGTATGACATTAGGACAGTGAGCTAGGGATCAGTTGGACCAAAGTGACTAATCTGGCATTGTGCTTTATGTGTGTGTGTGTGTATGTGCTGGGGGCTGCCCCAAGTAAGCAGGATGTGCTCCAGCCTGGGGTAGCAGTAAGGGGGCAAGAATGAGGGGCGGTATCAGACACATGGTGTCAGACAGATGGTGACCAACATATGCAGTCTGTATGACCATGATGACACACACTCACAGGAGGCAGAGGCAAGAGAAGTAGGAGTTCAAGGTTGCTATCATTGGCTATATAGCAAGTCTGGCACCAGTGTGGGCTTTACAAAACCCTGTATTAAAAGAAATCAAGTAGAGCAGTGGTGGCACACACCTTTAATCCCAGCACTCGTGAGGCAGAGGCAGGCGGATCTCTGTGAGTTTGAGGCCAGCCTGATTTACAAAGTGAGTTTCAGGACAGCCAGGACTGTTACATAGAGAAACCCTGCCGGGGGGGGGGGGAGAGGAGAGGAGAGGAGAAGAGAAGAGAAGAGAAGAGAAGAGAAGAGAAGAGAAGAGAAGAGAAGAGAAGAGAAGAAAAGGAAGAAGACACCAGGTGCCCTCTTCTCTGGAACAGGACACAGGCCCTTGCACAGATAAGATGAATGGCTCTGTACACATGGGAGAGTCCACAATAGTGGCTGTGTCACAGGCTACCTGTGACAGTACTTCACTCACTATGGATGAATAGGATGAATACTTCCCACCCTCAAGGTAAGGCCATGTGGGTGGAACTTGTGTGGGGACCCTTCAAGAGCCTTTGGGGCTGGGGCACAGGTCAGTGCTACACTTAGCTCTTATAAAGTTAGCCCTTAACTCCTTATGGCTTCAGGAGGTGCTAGTTTCAGCCCTAGCCCACCCACCAAAATCACAAACAAACAAATTCAGAGTCTGCTGAGGGAGGCTGTGGTTTTCCATCTTTAGGCTACAGCCAAGCTGTTATCTCCCAAGACCTCAGGAAGGATTTAGCTTAAATGAAGTGTGGGGTCATACAAATACCTCCTCTCCAGGGGAGATGTCTTTCCTCCCAGAGAAGCCTTCACCCTAGGGGCTGCTGCTTGAGCTTTGAGAGGGGCAAAGGCTCCAGATGCTCCCCTTTCACCTTCCCTCCTAGAATTCTCCAGGGAGAGACTTCATTGTCACACACAACCAAAGGCAGCTCCTCCCAAGGTGGGCAGCAGTGCACCACATGGATGTGGTGGACCTGACTGCACTGGAGAGCTGACACCCAGCCCAGGGAACATTCCGGCTGTTCTCTTCCATTGCAGTTGAGTCTTTCCTGATCAATGCCTGCAGAACTTTTCTTTCCATTTATGGCCTCTGACTCAAGTGTACGATAGGAAAACATCTATGACACGGTGACCCGGGGTGCTGGCTTCTGAGTCCTCCTAACAAGAACATCATGTTCTTTAGGGCAGGTCCCTGCTGGCCTCTCTAAGATCCCCTGACATGCTCCCATCCATTTCCTGCAGCAGCAGGCTCCTTCAGTGTCCTGCACTTCACCCCCAGGGCCTTTGCACATACTGTTTCCTTGGAATTCTAGTTGTTAAGACTTAAGAGCACTGAACACATCTGGGCTTGCTTCCTGTGGTTTCTGAGGTGATGAATACTTGGCAGCACCCCTTAAACACTGACTGATAAGTCTTTTACGACATTCTGGCAGCCCCAAAGCCCCAACGGTCATCCTGTCAATGCCCCCAGAGTTCTGAGGTTGCAGGCACACACGGTCAGTCACACCCATTCTTTTGTAAACAGGGATTCTGAGGATTTGAACTCAGATCCTCATGCTTGCACAGCAAGAACTCTTACCTAATGAGCCATTTCCTAAGACCCACTCTAGGCACTCATGGACATTTCATTCAATTCCCCACAATGCTCCAGTGTGTTTAGTAGTAGCAACCATTTACAGAAGGCTGGCTCTTTGTGGACAATGGGCTGAGACTGTGCCCATGGCCTGCCTCCTCTCATCACACGCCAGGCTTATGGACAGGGAAGGGAACCCAGTATTACAGCAGATCATCAGCCTCTTGATCTACAATGCTTCCCACATTTCCTCTGGGCACATTCCAACTAAGCCTGTTCTGGCCCTTGTTCCTGCCCTGCAACCAGTCAGCCAGGTGAGACTGGGGGATAAAGTGAGGCCTCTCTGACTCAAACGCCACCTACAAGGCTATCACAGCTCAGCTCAAGAACTGTCTACGTCTTCCAATAGCTCTCTTATGTTCCCTTCCCCGGATCACCTGGCCTTTCCCTCCCATGCCATTTCCTACCAAGCCTGGAGGTACGTGCTCAGAACCATGTGCCACCAGGGTAGGAATCACAGATGCCCCTGTGTGAATCTTGTATCCCCTGCTGGAAAGGCTGTGGAAAATCCTGCTTGCAAAGAAGGGATCTATCTCATTTGTTGTCAGAATCATCTATGGAGGGCTTGGGGAGCTGGCTCCGGGGTAAAGATTTTGCTGTTCAAGCATGAGGACCTGAGTTCAATCCCTACAACCCACATAAAAATCTGGGTGTTGAACATGTACCTTCTAATCTCAGTGCTGAGGAGGCCAGCATTACTTAGTGAAATCCAGGTTAGGAAGAGAGGTGGGGTTGGTGAGATGGTTCAACAGGCAGATACTTGTTACCAAATCTGACAATCTAAGTGATCCTTGGGATCCACACGGTGGAAGGTGAAAGTCAACTCCTGAATATTATCCTCTGACCTACACATACATGCCACATGGCTCATGTACAACCTTCTACATGCATACAAAATAAATAAATAATAGATAAAATGCAATTTAAAAAATCAAACAAACCCTCCCACAAAGATAGTGGACAGTTCCTGAGGATCATATGGAAAGTTGTCCTCTGGCCTCCACATACATGCATGGACACGTGTGCACACACACACATCATCATCTGTAGACATGCAATAGCCATACTTCCCAGGCTAGCTTGCCTGTAGAGCTTAAGTCTGGTCCCCAGACTGTGGTGGCTGAGGGTAGAGTCTATGGGAAAACAGCTTGTTGTCTGACGCTGATCAAGACTGTAGATTAAATTTGACCATTGCTGCTCAGAGGAGGGTGACCGCATACAACTCATGATCCCCTGGGTGACCATCCACACGCAGGGTTCCTCAGAGCCTGAGCTACACTGATATCTTTCAGCCAAGTTAGAAGAGCCATGCTCATCCTGGACATAATGCAGACGTGTAGCTATCAGGCACACTATGTGGCCCACCTTCACACCCCGGTATACAGGCCCTGTGAAATATCAGGCTGGCTGTCAGAAGAGAGTGTTCCTGTCCCTGCCATGTGGTGGTCTGAGTGGAAGGATCCACTTACCCCAGAGGGCCATAAACACAGAGAAGAAGACGGTGGCAGGGTTGTCAAAGAGGTGGCTTGCACGGGCCGTGGCACAGGCTGAGCTCATCTTCCAGTAGCTGCAGGTCTTGTCACACAGGGGACACATGGTGATATTGTGTCTCTGGTCACACATTTCCATGCTGCAAGACAGAGGTGGCCTCAGGTTTCCAAATGGCCTCAAATTCTGAAGTTCCAGTTTACTTCCCAGGGTTCATGGAGCATGGCCCTGGTGGTCACAGTCAAGGCATGTTGGCTAGTTGCGGCCACTCTGCCCCACTCCCTGCCACAAGCTTCACAGGCATGTGGCCCATGCCTAACCATGAGTTTCAGGGCTACAGGCTCCATTCAAGACCCTGATATTGTCTGACTTAAGCTCCCATGGTTTGGGGGAAGGGCCTGGATGGTCACCTTGAACAGAATTTTGATGTAGCCAGTTCTAAAAGTACCTGTCCATGTCCATATTCTTGGGCAAAAAGACACACCAAAGTGTCCCCTCTGGGATGGGTGGTTATACCTGAGATCAACACTCCTGACACTTTTACAGCCCAGGATCCCCAGCCAGCCTTCCTACTGTCCCCAGGACCTATGAAAGCTGTACTACGTCAGGCTTGGAAGCCCAAGGGAGGGATGGAGTGAACTGCAGCCAGGAGGCCCTCACTGTGGCCAGACCCATGTTGGGTGACTCTCTGGTAGCACTGGGCATCATGCCATGACCCTTGCAGGGCATGCTAGGCAGCTAAAAAGGTGGAGAAAGGGTGTTCAGGACTCCTCTCTGTGGGTGGCTAGGATCAAAGGAACATGCCCCCAAGCGCCTTTGAGGTCCCTAGTCACCCTGAGGGGCTCACTCAAGAAACAGGTAGCTTCAGGGATGGTAGGTTCTGCTCAATGGAGCGTAAGGCTCAGCTGGGTTCTGAGGCAATGCTTCAGTAGGTGAGGCGCTTTGAGCGCAGGGTGCCCTGGCCCTCCCCTACTCATGCTAACACATCCTGACATTTACATGGCATCAGCAGAAGAGAGGGAGCCTCATGACTATCACACTATAATCCCACCTTCATAGGTGGGAGCAGGAACGCAGAGAAGAAAAGTAAATTCCTTGAGGCCACACAGCAAGGGCTTCCAGGGCCACGGCCCTCTACTGAGGTCAGGCTTCTAAGCTGTACTCTATTCTGACCTGAGCTCTGTGACCATGGTCAAGACCTCTAGCTTCAGGCTCAACATTTCTGGAAAATGAGGAGAGGGGAGGGACCACTGCCCTCTAGACACAGTGTGTCCTGAACTCTCTCCTTCCTTTGAACTTGGACCTGACCCTGATCTATAAATAGATGCACAGGCTGGAAAACTCATTCCCAGGGGTCAGATGGCCATCTGGGAGAAAGCTGAAGTGGGTATTTTTGCTGCTGCTGCAGCTTCTTCTTCTCCTTCTTCTTCTTCGTCGTCGTCATTGTCATCGTCGTTGTCATCGTCTCCTCCTCCTTCCTCTTCTTTTTTCTGGATCCACATGAACTGTGTATATACTTGTGCTGGCTCTCAGGAACACTCCTCTGTGCCCAAGGCAGAGGACACCAGAACCATTCTCTTCCTGTGCATCAGGGGTATGGCTCACTCAACACAGACACAAAGATGAGGATGAGCTAAATACAACTTAGATGGTGGTTTAGGAGTATCTGGGGAGATGTGGCAACAAGCACATGTGGCAGGAGGCACGGGCACTCAGGGAAGGGGATCCATGAGCTTGGGAGCCCGAGGCTCTGACATCTCAGCTCTGGTGTGTGTGACCATGCAGTCTGGGGAAGGGTGCTGAGTCCTGCTGTCTTGGTTTCCCATTCTACCCAGAATGAGCTGAGTAGAAGGGGTACCATGCTGTTGGATTGCTGGAGGTGAGATGGACCAGCATGTGTATGCCCCTTTAAGAGTGCACCTCAGTCCCAATGTAGTCCCTGCTGTTGCCATCCTCCTGGGACCTTAAATTAGCACAATGTCACCAGATGCCCAGAAACTGGTCCTTCAGAACGCATCTCTTTCCTCTCACTGAGATAAATGAGTAAGCAGGACTCCGGTTGTGCCTGATCTGGTCTGAGCTCCCTCTCCCTAGGAACTGGTGGGTAGAAGGCCATTCCTGCTGTGTCAGTATGCATCTCAGGGTCATGCTGTCTGGCCCAAGACTGGGGAGGCTAGAGGGACTGAGGAGTGGCATCAGGCACAGGGGGTACCAAGGCACAGTTCTGTCCACCAGCCTGCCTATGAGTCATATGGCTTGTCTGTGTTGTGCTCCCCTCCCCCCCACCACTCCACACTAGCCTCAGCTTCCAACACAAATGCCAGCAGCCAGACAAAAGCCCTTTTTCTGGGGGCCTTAAACTCAGCCAAAATCAAGAAACACAGCCTGAAGGTCCAGAACTCAGAGAGGATAGGTGGGGCAGGGTCACTGGCCACCACCTCCCTGAGACCTAAGCCTGGTCTCCAAGGGGGACTGCATGCCTCTAGCTGCCAGGCAAGACCAACTGGGGCAGAGGCCAGAGCCGGACAGGCCTGGGCACTGGCTTTGTCTGTGGTGCTGGATGATTACTGTTTGCCTTTCTGACCATGTGACTTAAGGAGACTGAGCTGCCAGAGTTAAAACCCTCGGTGCCCCCTCTTAGGAGTCTACACCCTGAGCTGGCAGAGCCCCTTCTACTAAGGAGTATCACAGGGGCACCCCTTTTCCACTGCCTGCTTCTCACAAGCTTTTGGTTCTGGCAGCTGACAATCAGCCGTGCCACCTCCACGTCTCAGCCATTTTCATCTGTCCCTTCAGCAAACCCCAGCAAGCATTGCATGATCCTGGCATTATAAATCCTTGCATCATCCATGTGGACACAGGGCAAGCATTCTCCAGTTTGAGACTGTGGGAACTAGGGAGGGAATTGGGAGAAAGGAATAGCAGATGCCTTATTCACATAGTAAAACACAGTGGAAGGGGTTAGGGATGGCTCAGTGGTTGAGTACTGGCATCTTCCAAAGGTCCTGGATTAGAGTCCCAGCACCCATGTGGCAGCTCACAACCATCTTTAACTCTAGCTCCAGGGGGATCTGATGCTCTCTCCTAGCCTCCATGAGTACTGCACACACATGGCGCACACATGCAGACAATAGACTTATACATCTACAATAAAAATAAGAATCACAGAGGCAAAATTGGCCAGATATGGTCTTTCTGGTCTGACAAGACCCCCTCTCCTCCCCAGCTGACAGACATAGGGTTCTCTACCAATCAGAAGCAGTGACAATGTTCTAACCCACAGCTCCGTGGCAGAGGCACTGAAAAAGTCTTGCAGCTGGTCATAGGGGTGGGAGCTCAGATTCTCTGTGCTGTCTCAGAACATGGGTGGCCCTCAGCATCATGTCTCCCATAGAGTGCAGGGTCCGTGCCTACCTGGGGATGTTTTCGTCCACAGTGGCACATCCATAGAGGAAGACAATGACACCCACAATCGAGGCAGGGATAAGCATCTGGGTGTAGGCACCAAGCCAGGCAAAATACAGGCCGACCTTCTCGCCAAAGTATTTCCTATGCCGAGAAACAAAGGGAGGCACTCACACCCTAGACCACAGGGACATGTCCCCCTAGCAAGGAACAACTCCAATTGGGCCCTTGATTCTCATGCCTGAGAGTCGGGGAGTGAGACTCTAGAACACCTCATTGGGTTTGGGGTGCTCTCTATTCTTTGTATATGCTCCCACTTACCTGCAAATATTCTACCACTAAACTATAATATTCCTATCTCTTTCTCTTTCTTTCTTTCTTTCTTTCTCTCTCTCTCTCTCTCTCTCTCTCTCTCTCTCTCTCTCTCTCTCTCTCTCTCCCCCCGTGTGTGTGTGTGTGTGTGTGTGTGTGTGTATGTGTTGCACTCTCTCGTAGCCTAGGCTGGCCCCAAGCTCAATACATAGTTGAGGATGAACATAGTTGAGGATGACCTTGAACTTGTGATTCTCTTCTTTATACTTTCCATGGACTGAGATTACAGGTGTGCATTGCCATGCCTGGCTTTCTCAGTGCTGAGGACTGAACCTAGGGCTACAGGCATGTTAGTCAAGAACTCTACCAGCTGGGCTGAATCTCCAGCCTCCTCTGTCTTTTGGACATCGGGTTTTTCCTCTTTGGCTCAGGCTAGCTTTGACCTTACTATACAGCCCATGTTGACCTTGAACTCCTGATCTTCCTGCTTCCACCTCCCGAATATTAGGATTACATGTATGTGTGTCACCAGGTTTGACGCTGCCTCTCCTGTGTGCCCTGGGCAACTTCCATTTGTGAAGACTTCACTGGTGGTCCAGTTGAGTCCCCATGGCTTTGGGTTCCAAAATGAAACTCGGTCCGAGGCATTAAGTAAACTAGCCACTCCCTACCCCCATAGAGTCTGCTGGCCTTCCCTGGCTGACCATTGTCACCATTCACACCCTCATCTACAAGCCCCCACTGGATTTGAAGCCCAGGTGACTGCCCATCCTGCCAGCCTCTCAGGGTGCCCTGCAGATTCTTCTTCCCTTCCATACCCCAAGGCAGGTGATCTCGGCAGCTGTCCTGCTGGCCAAGCTGAGGACTCAAGGGGAGGCAAGGGGAATGGCCAAATGTTGATCCTCCAGTAGATATGACTAGGCGGCATCACCAACCCTGCCTGAGCTGTCTTGCTTCCCAGAGAACCAATGGCCCACACGGCCTCTAAGTACAAACAGGTTCCCAGGTGGCTGAATATTTGTAGAATCTGACAAAATCCAGAGACTTTACGATTCGGACATGGCCTCACTCCACATAGTCACTGCCTTGGAGGCCAGGTGCCCCCACTCACCTGACCAAGTCAATGGGCTGGTATTTGTAGAAGACCCCGTAGCTTGCCCATTCCTCATATAGGAGCTGGAGAGAGGAAGGAATGGGAAAGAAATTGGTGGAGGGTCACACACTGATGCTGTTCCCTGGAAGAGCTTTAGGGTTTCAGTTTGCCTCTCCATCATTCATCCATCCATCCATCCATCCATTCATTCAACAAATGCTTAGAGAATGCTTAGAGAATTGACATTCTGAGTTTGGTGGGGGTGGGAAAGATGCTTCCAGAAGGTTATGGAATCTCAGCTTTTCATGAATGGATTGGGAATTCATCTATGACAACTGATAGCAAGAGGTCACTCTGGTCAGATAACAAATCACTTATCATCTAAACCACCAGTGTTCAAGCAGAGAGACACAAACAGCAAAACTGAAAAAAGAAAAAAATCTGGCATACAGAGATGGCAAGGGTTCGTCTCCCAAGACAGTCTCCTGATTAACACCTGTCATGAAACAAGAGACCAGGGCCAGCCAGATGGCTCAGCACAGAAAGGTGCTTGCCACCAAGCTTGGCAACCTGCATTTGATCCCCAGAACCCACATGATAGAAGAGAACTGATTCCTCTTCTACAAGTTGTCATCTGATCTCAACATATGTATATACACACACATATATAACACACACACATACACATTATGGGGGGTGTGGGAACCACTGGTTAAAACAACCCCAAGAGAGCAAAGAAGTCACACATCACTTTCATTAAAGTCACACTCACCAGCACACACACACACACACACACACACACACACACACACAGTATGAATGGTGTAGGGACCACTGGTTAAAAAAAAAAAAAAACCCAAGTGTGTGAATAGGACAGAGTGGCTCAAACCCCAGAATAATTGTCTGTGTACTGTCTGTCACTGTTCTGTGTACAGATGGTAAGAGGTCCCAGAGATCCTCCTTGGCACATACCATCCATGCCCAGCCTGGCAAGAAATTACCAGGTAATGGGCTCTGTCCCTACATAATTCCAGAGGCCCTCCTGTCAATCTTCAGTGGGACAACTGCCTGATCCTCAGTTGTCACTTCTCTGTTAGCATCAGAATAGTAACAGGGAGAAGGCTGGGCAGGGATGTTTGTGGGATTCCCATGGATTCCTGCCTCACACACTGTCTTGTTGCTTGTGATGTGTCTTCCTTCTGTAACATTCAACTATATTTATTTATGTAAATGCCCCCTCCGTGTGTGTGTGTGTGTGTGTGTGTGTGTGTGTGTGTGTACATAGTTGTGCATGTGGAGACCAGATGACAGCCTTGGATATCACCTTTAGGAAGGCCACCCAACTCCTTTGGGCTCTTGTTAGCCTAGAGACCACCAGTTAGACTAGACTGGCTGTTCATGGCACCCCAGGGACCTTCCTGTTTCCCTTTACAAGCTGTCATGTTGACTTACTGTTCACACAGGTTTTGAGGACAGAAGTCAGGCCCTTGTGCTTTTGAGACAAATGCTTCACCAACTGAGCTATTTCCCCAAATTTTACAGTTGGGGTGGGGAGCGTCCCTATGCACAAGTGTTGTACAGCCATGGAAACATCATCCCAGACATTCTTATGGACTGGATGCATGGACTCCCAGCATATGTATAGCCCTGAGTCCCATGTGACTATTAAGAGCGTGGCCTTTTGGGAAGAAATCAGGGACATATGAGGTCACACAGTTGGGGCCCTGACTCCAGACACCAATGATCTTTTAGATGGGGCAGGATGATGCTATCCACAGGCAGGGAACCCAGCTGGCCATCTTCTTGCCTTAAGAATCCTTGTCTGTTCGGCCTTCCCATCTATGGTGCTGAGATGCTCTCTCCCAACTCAATAGGTCCAGATAGGGAAGACTGATTTATGTGACTCTTTGAAGATGAAAGATAGGCAGGCAGTTTAATCTAGAGACAGGAGAGAAGTCCTAGTCCCTACTTCACAGGACCTGTCAGATCTACATGACCCCAACTGGATGGCACTCCCCTACATATGGAATTGGGGTGGGGGGATGGGAGGGGAGGGTGTTTAGAGTGCATGTGAGAGGGCAGAGAGGGCAAAAAGGGAGGGAAGGAAGGAGGGAGGGCTGGGGGGGGGGAACGAGGAAGGGAGGGAGAGGGAACTGGGATCGACATGTAAAATAATATATTAAACTAAAAAAAAAAAAAAAAAAAAAAAATGCTTTGACTCCAAAATTTAAGTTGAAGGACAAGTTACTGGGGAAAAGGATTTCTATTTTTGTTTCCACAGAAAATGAAAAGATGTGGATTCCTTCCAGACTAATGTGGTTTGATCACGCCAGACCACCTGAAACAGAGTACAAGCTGATCCTACATTCAAAACAGCTGGACAAAACAGCCCTACAGACTACAGCCAAGATATCTGAATCTTCTTCGAATCCCCCAAGACAGCGCCCCTTACCAGCAGGAAGTAGTTTGGAAAGAACGACGCCCAAATTCCCAAAAATTGTGTATAAATGTTTGTTTTCATTTAATTGGACTGTTATATAAAATTAAATAAAATTAAAAAAAAAAAGATAGGCAGGCAGTATGTCCACATGAGAGGGTCTCCACTTTGGGGGAGGGGTCCTATCTATCTATCTATCTATCTATCTTTGAGATAGTCTTATGCATTGCAAGTTGGCCATGACTTTGTTGTATAGCTGAGGATGACCTTGAACTCCTGATCTTCCTTGCCATCAACTCCTAAGTACTAATTAGGATTAAAGTTGTAGTCACCATGCTCTGTTTATACAGTACTTGGGAATGAACCCAGGGCTTGTGCACACTAGGTAAGCACTCCAGCAATGGAGCCGCAAGCCCAGCCCCTTCCTGGCATCCCTTCTGCAGCTCTGAGAATTAACAATTGTGTGTTTTACCCACAGGCAGTCCACATATCTCCAGGAAGCAGGGGAGAAAGCAAGAGAGAGACAGGCACCTGTGAGGAGCAGGGAGCCCTTCTGTAAAGTAGGGACTTGTCTGCTAGTTCCCTACCAGCATGGTTTTTCTCTGTCCCCTGGAGTCCCAGATGGGGTTCACACAGGATGAACAACCACCACACTCTCCGAGAGGCTTCCCAGGAGGAACCTGAGAGGAAGTGTCAGCATTGCTGAGCTAGGGAAGATTTAGGGGAGCCCTAGGCAGAGCTGCTTCTGTTCCTCCTTTGCACCAAAGGCTAAGGGGTGTTCCTTCCTCCAGGGTCACTGTGGGAGCCTGATGGCTCATGTACGTCACTGTGATCTGCACAGGTTATGCAGCCATGGGAGAAGGCTACAGCTTCCTCTAGAGAGCAGAGCAGGCCACCAGCCAACCTTCAGGAATCTCCACTACACCCCTGTAGTGAACCTCAAGCTCACCTGTGACTACACCCTGCAATGGGAGAACGGGAATGCTCATCAGAGGAGAAGGTGGGGGACCAGGGAAAGAACAGGGTGAGACTTGGAGTGGGAGAAGGAGGAGGGAGAGGCAGGGACATACAGTGGAGAGAAGGAAGAGAGGGAAGGAAGCATGGAGGGGTGCGAGACAGAAAGAGGAAGAGGAGGGAGAGAAAGCAGGGAGATATAGTTGGGGGAGGGGGCAGGGAGGGATGAAAAGACATGCAAGGGTGAGGATGTACAAGCTTGTTGGAAATAAAGTGTTTAAAACCACCTCAGAACGCCCCCCCCCCCATGTCATGGGTTCTGGCTGGCCTGTGTGGCCTCTGCAGTCTCCTGACAGAGGTTAGGAGACAACATTGTTTTCAACATAAGCACCACACTGTGAACTCTTCCTGCTCCGTGGTAACCTCCCTTACCCTTACTGTCAGGCAAATAGCTCACAGGGAGATTCACTAATGCTCTTGGGAGAAGCCTGCTGGCCCCTTTAGCCTCTGCCAGCCTAGGAGGAGTGGGGCTCAGGATGGGTGGGCTGTGAAAGGCAGCAGACAGGGCTCAGACTGGGAACCATTTTCACTAACTGTTGAACAGAGGAATAATGAATTTGGACCTGTGGCTCAGTCCAGGATGGTGGTAGGGCAGACTCATTCCAGCCACAGCTGTGTATCTCCCAGAACCCTCTCCTTAGAGGTCTGACTGTCCCCTTATCTTTGGGACCCTCACTGGCCTCAGGAGGATCCAGCATCTGTCTGCAGCAATGCCCCTGTGCACGTGTGTGTCCTGGCTTTGATTAGGGTTTGCTTTGGGATAGGTCAAAAGTTGCCTGCCGCCCTGGAGGAGATTGACTAGAGGCCCCCAGTGACTATGATGCAGGCAGCCAGTCTGTGTGAAGCCCTACTCACACCTATCTGGCAGAAACCTCACTGCCACACTGCTTAGCCCAAGAAGATGTCCTTGCTGTACTTTGTTTCTTTGGTTCTGGCAGGTACCTGGAGTCAGGCTCCTGGGTTTTCTACTTATCCATTCATCTACCAGTCCATCTTTATAGCCATCCATCCACCCATCATCTGTCTATTTATCCATGGATATGGTGGGAATTACAAGGAAGAAGTCACAGATTTTTGTCACGGAAAAGGGAAAATTTTCAAGCCATGCCACTTAGAATGGAGCTATCATGGGAGAACAGAGGTTCTGTGATAAGACCAAAATACTTACCTGACCTTCCCTTCTTCCTTCCATCTATCATATCTACTCACTGACACACCCACCTACCCACCAGTTATCCATCTACTCACGTATCCACCCATTTGTCCGTCCACCCATTCATTCATCCATCCAACCACCTATCCACTCATCTATCCATTTACTCATCAATCTAGCCATCCTTATATCCAGCCACTTATCCATCCATCCATCCATCCATCCACCCTCCCTCTATTCATTTTATCATTCAACTAACCTTATATATACTCATCTATTAATCTATGCATGCATTTATCCATCTACCCACCCACCCATTCATCCACCCATCATAACCACCCACCCACCTAAACATCATTATTCTCTCGCTACCCAATGGGCCAGGCCTTGTACTCTTTGCTAGGACATAAAATTCACTGTAGTATGGGGTGTTCCTGATAGAGTTAATAGCTAGCCTTGGACAACCTGGAATTTTGTTGCTGGAATTGGCACTCAGCAGAGCCAGGAAGTTATCTGAATAAGTAACAGCTATTCCTGGCATGGTGTGACTGTCATCGGAATTACAATGGCCAGCAGGATGGCTGGTGTAGCTGCAGCTCAGGGTAGAGTAGGGGGCTAGGGAGGGGGAGCAAACAGGGTTGCTGTTGTCATGGAAGGACCTCAGCCAAGAGGCTGAGATACAAGGGGTGAGGGGGTAGACTCTGAGCCCAGAGCTGGCTAGGACACAGAGTGGACTGTGCTTCTCCAGTGGGATTGGATAGGGGAGTTTGACGGGTCATGGGGTCTTAGATGAATGCCAGATGGGACACTAAAAATAACCAAATATGTCATTTTTTATGTTAAATCAGATAGAATCTTCAGCTAGATTCCCGGGCAGGCAAGTTACATCAAGTACTAACCATTTGAAAACAAGCCTGGGGCTGAAGCAATCTGAGAGGGAAGGACATGCTACCCAGAGGTCCCCAGGCCTGCGGTGTGGGGACAAGGCCTCTATTGTGAGGCTCATGAGGAAGTGCCCCTGCATACCACTTGCAGAGGGACAGAGGAGGGGTAGAGGTTCAGGGATACCCCCTCTCCAGGATGGAGCCTGGGTTTGTTGGGTTAATAGACAGTCTTGTTTGGATGCAATGTGCAAGTCTGGCGAGGGATAGGGGTGTTCCTGAGTGTGCAGCAGGCGTCTGGGGGGGCATTCTCAGATGGGGGCAGCTTCTTGGGGATCCCCTGCGCAGAGTGAGGATTCTGGGCTGCTGGAGAAATAAGGGAGGACACAGTGTTTCCTAGAGGGTGTTCCACTGAACTGCATGATAACTTCTCTATTCAAAAGGGTTCCAGGACAGCTAAGTTTGAACACCATGAGCTTTGAGGACTGTGGCTGACTGGACAACTGGCCACTGTGAGTCCATGTTTCCTGATCCTGATGTTGGTAGAATGAGTCCAAGTGCCTTTAACAACCATAGCGGCCAGGGGAAAGGTGCAGGGTGACCCCATAAGACGGGTTTTCCCTGGAAGTCAGTGTGGGAGAGGAAGGTGGAGAAGAAGAGGCAGGCTCCAAAGAGGTATCTTCCTTTGCATGGTCAGGTACCTGTCAAGGGCTGGGTAAAGTGACTGAAGGAAGGAACAGAGAGCCCCCAGGCCACTCACCCCTCCCAGCCCTGCCTCCCACTCTGTATTCACACACTTACTTTTCTGTCGTTGAACTCAACGTTGTCACCCTCATAGTCTCCCTGCAAATGGAAGCAAAAGTAAGTTCTGATTGTGCCACAACCATGAGGCTGACCAGGTGCCCCTCCTCCCATGGTCAGAGCTGTATGAGCTCCAACTCCCATGGTCGGGGCTGTGAGAGCCCCTCTTCCCATGATCAGGGCTATATGATTCCTGCTGGCCACTTGGCCTCTGACATCAGACACAGAGTGGGATCTAAGAAGAGACCCATGGCATTGCTTTGGGCAGAGTGAAAGAGTGGCGGCTTTGAGGGGAAAGAAAGCCTTCTGATGACAAGGACATGTGGAGTGCTCTGTGATGTCCCCATAGCACTCTCTAGGCTTCCACGGTCAGGTGTGCCACAGTAAATCTCGCAATTTTTGACTATCTAGATCCCTGAGCCCAACATGCCTAGAGATCCAGAGATGCAGCCTGACACACAGCTAAGTGTTTGTCAGACCTGGACCAAGAACCAGATCTTTAAAGGCAAAGGAAAAGAGGATCCAAAAGTTGGAAGTGAGCCCAAAAACCACTAAGTGGGAATAGCAAGAGAGTGGCTCTCCACAGCAATCCCCACTACATGCAGCTGGCCTGAGCCAACCACTTGTTTTTGCTAATCATTAGGCAGATACAGTGTGACCTCTTAAGAGTCATCTGAAGGCCATTCCCTCACCTCCATTGGTCAGCAACTTTGTAGCATCTGCCACCCCCTGCCAGGTGGGGAAGATCTGGCCATGTTCCCAAGCAAGCAGCCCACTATTGGGATCTGAAGACAGTAGGGCCAGCTTCCTTCTGGACTCCAGGGGCCTCTCTCCCACTCAGGCTCAGGTCCTTTAGGTGTGTTCATGAATGCATCTCACAGTTCCAGTAAGGATTCATTCATACCAGAGGCTGGCTTGTGGTGACCTGAAGGCAGGTAGATGCCAACCCGGAAGGAAGCTGAGAAGCTACCAAGCAGCCAATATAAATGTCACCAGTATTTCCATGCAGGTGATACCTCTTATTACTGGAGACCTCCCCAGGGTCTCACTCAGAACAGGTGACTCTTAGTACACAGGACTAACGTCAGCTACCCAGCTGGCCGCAGTGTCTACATCCACCTACAGATATTACGTGAAGGAAAGAGCAGTCCACAGATTTAGGGAGAGAGAGAGGGTGAGGATGCCCTAGGCCAGGGATGCAGACAGGGGCATGAGTGGAGGACAGGAGATGGATGCAGAATATATAAGCAAGCACAGCCACCGATACCTCTCTGGCCCAGTCCCACCAACCCTCCATCCGTGTCCTCTTTAAGGGCATTGGGCAGACCTGGCTCACTTCAGAGCTAGTTACTTCCCCTAGATATTTTGCTTTTTTTGTTTTCTTCTTCTTCTTTTTGGACAGGGTTTCTTTGTATAGCCTTGGGTGTCCTTGAACTTGCTCTGCAAACCAGGCTGGCCTTGAACTCACAGAGATCCACTTGCCTCTCTCTCTGCCTCCCAAGTGCTGGGATTAAACTTGTGCTTCTTTTGTATTTTGCAACAAGGTCTCTCTATGCAACTCAGTTTAGCCTCAAGATCAGCATCTTCCTGCTTCAGCCTCCTGAGTGATGAGATGGCAGGTGTGTGACATCACTCCTGGTTTCCCTAGCTGTTTCAATATGAGCTTGGGATGCTCATATTGAATGAATGGGATGGATATTCTTTGGTGGTTTGCAAAGTTTATGGGTAGAAACTTCCTTGTCATCCAGAGGTCTGGGCTGTGCCTCCAGGCTGTGTGTTCCTGGGCAAACTGCCGGAGTTCCATAAGCCTCTGTTTCCCCATCTTTAATGTGGGAAGTGTGGCCACCCGGATAGGCTTTCATAGGACTGCAGCATAAGGAACAATGGCAGGTCTGCTTGGTGGAGATGGAGCATTAGACCTTCAGGGAAGGAAGACACATTCAGGGTGCCTATTATGAGTGGTCTTTATTCTCAGTTCCTCACAGGGATTCTGTGACTTTAGGCAAGTTATTAAACCTCTCTGAATCTGTGTCTTCACTGGGTTAAATGAGACAAAGCTTCCACTGGAAGTTGTGCTTGGCATCTAGTAAGTTCTCAGAAATGTTTTCCAGTTCTTTCCCTTTAACATTTAAAGGGCCAGCTCAAAGCAGACCAGGGCTTAAAAACACTTTAGCTTCTGGGTCCCAGCTATGCCAGGGAAGGCAGGGCAGAGCTAGGCTAGGCAAGGCTATACCCTGGAGCCCAACAGCATCCTGCAGAGAAGGATGCTTAAGAGTGGATTGGGACTTCATGGGAGGGGTCAGGAGCACTGTCAGGACCTGAGGGAGCATGGACCTACCCTGGAAATATTAGAGGAGGCCCGAGAGCCAAAGTCCCACTAACAGGTAATTAGCACACACACTCCACACTGGCCAGACAGCCATCTCCCTGTGGGATAAGGGTTATTAGAAGGCCAGTGAAGGGAGGAAGAAATCAAGGTGCTGGAGAGAAGAGGCAGGAAGCAACTAACTAGCAGGCAAGTAGGACAGCACCCGCAAAGGCACACAGTGGGGACGCTGGGCCAGCTGCTCCCAAATCCCTGGCTCTACAGTGGGGTGGGAAGGGAAGATGAGGGGACAGATAAGCCTAGCATGGCTCTCCCGCCAAGGTCCCCCATATAGTCTACTGCCCTGTGCTATTTCAGCAATCTTGTTGCCTCCTGAAAGTGGCTTCTTGTCTGCACTTTCTCTGACAGCCACATCTGTCCTGCCATTAGACAGGCATTAGTCCTACCAGGACACAAAGTCTCTGAGCGAGAGACCAGCATGGGATCCGGGTCTGCCAACCCTCAGGTCTGTCCTCGTTCCCTCCTGCTCTGGGTTCCTGGTCTCTGCTACACTCTACATTTGGCAAGTCTCAGGGAGCCTCTGCTGAGGCTCATACACTACTCAGACCCCACAGCCTAACCCCTGTTTCCATGAAGACAATAAGGAGACAATCTTGCCCCATCTCTTCACCCCTGGCCACAGCAAAAGCTGAATTTGTCAAAGCGAGACCAGCTGGATTTGGACACTCAACCCAGGAAGCTGGCCATTTGCTGTATACAGAGCCCTGGTGAGTGCCAGAGCCTGGGGCAGCAGAGCTAGAGCCAGGGCAAACACCCTGTGGATCAGCTGGCTGCGAGGTATGGAAGAAGCCAGCCGGGTGTCTCCCACAGTCGCCCCTGTTTTCATGGGATTGTTCTGCCAGCCAAGACAGTTCGGTGTGTGACTTTTCCAGCTCCCTCTGAGGGGAACAGAGAAGGCCAAGCAGGAAGCTGTGACCACAGGATAACTGGAGCTCCCAAGAGGGGTGGCCCTTGAAGACTGGGGGTGGGTGGGTGGGTATCAAGTGACGCAGACATTAACTATGTGTGAAGGTTACTTACATCATGCAGAGGGTACGCGGCTGAGTATACGCCATTGGCCAGAAGGCTGGTGATGCCTTAAAAACAGAGGTAGAGAGAAGTTAGGGACCAGCAGGCCTGCTGCCCCGTTTCTGGAAGTCAGAGCCGTCACAGGGTGCTCCAGTTCACAGGGATTCTGCTCAAAGCCAGACGTACCAGGCTACTCAGAGCCTGGTCACCATCTTGGGGTTCTTTCCCGGGTAGGAACGCAGCAGGGCGAGTTAGCTATCCACTAGAGATGATTTCAACATGCTTGATTGGTAGGGTTAGGGAGACGCAGAGCACACCCCAAGAGGAAGTTCTGTCCCTGAGGAAGGAGGCAGGAGCAGTTCAGTCACCCCCAAACCTTGGATTCGCCAGCTACCCCCACCGGCCTGAGGGAGAGCCTGCAGATGGAAAGATGGCCTCTGAGCGGTCAGAGAAGCTGATCATGAGAAGATGGGCGGATGGGAAATTGATGGTGTCAGGAAACACACATACAATTTGGAATTAGCTTGTAAGTTGATGGGAGAAGCGGAAGAGGAGGCCCCGCTCTTACCGTATTTCCCACACTTCCGCCGTTTACTTAGAAGGGCAGAGTCCTTCCTTCTTCCCTCTCCTTGCCCTGTTTACACATTGGCTATTAGTTACACAGAAGGGCCTGGAAGGGCCAAAGCTACATTTTTGGGAGAGAAAGTTGGTGGAGGCAAGGGGTTCACAGTCAAGTGCTTAGGGCAGAAGGAAGATGGCTGGGCCCTTGTTGGCTGGGCCCAGAGCCCACACTGGCATAGGTGAGATACAGCCTGTAGACTGGCAGGGACACCGTGCCTGGCTCCAGAACCTGTTGCTGAAGAAGGAGAGGAGAGGAGAGCAGACCCCGGCATGGAGGAGGGGATCCTGGGAAACTGCTCTGGTCTTGACACACTCAGGACCAATGTCTTGGATCCTTGTTCCCCTCAACCTTCAACTGCTGCCCCAGAACCCCCTGCCTGGCAGGGTGACTTTCTAGGTGACCTCTTACATGCCAATTTTTCTTAGCAGCCTGGAAGCTGACTCTGTACAACATGATTCAACAACAGTTGAAAACTAACCTAAACAAGGCCCATCTCCTTGGACAGCGACCTGGAATAGCCAGGCACCCCGAGGGACCCTTAGGGATCACAACCAGAGGTGGCCAGAGCACATGGCTGAAGCCACGCTCACAAGTGGAAAGTTTACCTCACATCAAAAATGTATGTGGGGCTGGACCCTGGCCTGTGGCCCCCTCACCCTTCCCAGGATGAAACCAGGATGGACGTGCCACAGAGTCCTTGCTTGGGTCTGTGTGGCAGGCTTACAACCTCATTTCTTCAAGCCTTCTGACCTCGCCTGAGAGGCCTCCCCTGACCATGGCTCCTAATGCCTCGAGCTTCCCCATCCCTCTTTCTGTGAGACTGCATTCTAGTTTATTGGTTTCCTTGCCCTAGGACACAAGTACCTGAGGGCAGCCCAGGTACTTGTGATAGCCTGGGACAGACAGGGACATCACTAGTCCATGGAGGGTCACTAAATGATTTTGTTGGTCCGTAGAGCTCCCAGTCCAGGTGCCACCATAAAGTGGGATTACAAAGGCACTCTGGGCTCTCTCTTCCACACAGAGGCAGGGGAACCAGGGGTGGGGGGAGTGGGAACCTACCCAGCCCCTCTCTTGGGGTCAAGCTAGAAGAGAGGTCAGTTCCAGTCCAGCCATGTTCTACAGGCCTTCATGGAATGGGCCCATTTCTATGAATGGGACCCGATGGTACCTGGACTGGCGTCATGCACCCTTTCTACTTCTAGCAGCCTTGTCACAGCTGTGCTCTGACAGTGGTGACTTGAACAAGCCCCTGAGTTTGCTTCCCCTCCACTTACCCAGGATACAAGAAATGCTCATTCTGGAGGTCCACACTGTCAGAAGGGGCCAAGCCAATGAGGACAGAACTCCTGGGCTCCTGGCTGGGGCCCTAGCTCCAATAAATCAAGGTATGGGCTTGGTCATCTCAGAATGTCCCTGTGGCCAACTGTGGGCCACACTGGTCAGGCTACATACAGTCTCTGTGTCCTGGCAGAACCCTCTCTGAGGCCTGGCCTACCTCAGCCAGATCACATAACAACATGGCCCCTGTTCTCCTCAGGCTGCCATTTCCCATGGCTCAGAACTAGGCTGTGATCCCCAAGGAATATCCCCATTCTTTCCTGCTGGAAGTCTAATCAAAGAGAGACTGGGCCCCTCTGTCTGCTTCTTTTCCTTGATTTAGGGTCTCTCTGCAGGAAGTTGTCCTTGTACCAACAAACACCTTTGAGCCAAGGGAATAGCACCTCTGGATGTGAAGTGCCTAGCTATAAATCCACTGGGGACAGGACTCTGGCATGACTTTCCTCCCAGTTTCCCAGCCCTCTGTTCTGAACCAACATAGGCTTAAATCAAATCTCTTCGAGGAAGCCCCAAGCCAGACGCCCACCGCCCACTGAGAGGACTCAGAGGGGAAGATGGCCACTCAGAAACTGTTGCTGACCTCAAGGCCACAGAATATCCTTACCCATGCTGTACTTGGCCTTTGTGCAAGTTGTTCTCTTCAGAATTTCATAGACCTAGTGCAGAGGGAGGGACAGAAAGGAGGAGTGGTTACTCTGCTGCTCTACCAGTCAAAGGCCACAGACACAGGGCACCAGGAGGGTCCTGGGCTTGGGACTCTAGCAAGCGATTCCCAGGGGTAAGTAAAATAGGGGTCTCAGAGAATCCCTATCCTTCACTTCCTGGAGCAGGGCTGATCCTACTGGCCTCACAAGGTGTCAGCCATGTGCAGTGGGCACCTTTCTAGAAACTAATGGGATGGGGGCAGGATGGGAGACACAATAGCCACCTCGGTGCCCTACAGCTGTTCACTGCCCCTTTTGTGGAGGCAAGAGCAGGAGCAGAGAGCCTGCATGCAGCTCTGTATGGGTTAGAAGCCCAGAGGAGGGCCTGGTGTGGAGATGGATCTCAGGATTCCCGACACACTGGGCACTAGGAAAGACGCCCCCATGAAGGGACCCCCTCCCTCTTCATATCTCTTTGACTAAAGAGATATTTTACTAGGGGGTCTCAGGAGCCCTGGCCAGGGAGTCTTGTTTGCCTGGGGCTAAGTTAGGAGAGCTTGTGCAAATTGTACCACCACCACCCCCATGCCTCAATTTAACTCTTTGAAAAGTGGGCTCGGAATAAACAGTCGTATCTAATCAGTTTCATTTCATTTTTGAGACAGGGTCTCATGTAGCCCAGGCTGGCCTCAAACATACTTATTGTCAAGGATAACTTCGAACTTCTGCTCTTCCTCCTAAGTGCTGGGATTGCAGGTGAGCACCACATGCCTGGCTTACAGGGTGCTGGGGACTGAACCCAGGGCCTCCTGTCATCTAGGCAAGCACTCTATCAATTGAGCCATAGACGTAGTTCTGTGCATGGTCTAGAGATGAGAATTTCTGAGCTGTTGATTCCCCCTCAGACCCTTTGCTGTGTTCACTCAGGCAAGACCAGTGTCCCTCCATTGGCTTCTAGGCCTGCACTGTCTGGCTCTGCCATAATATCTTTGTCTCCTACATCGGCAGCCTCGGCCTCTTGCTCTGAGTCCCCTCCTGCAGCCTCTGTTAGAAGCACCCATCCCTGCAGTTCTAAATAGTTCCAGGGTCACATTAACAGGCAGCTCTGTCCCTATCCTGTATTGTCACCTGCCCTGTGGTCGATGCCCTCAACACTTCCCTCTCCCTCCAGGAGAAAGCACACTGCAGGTGCTTAATAAAGCCCAGCTCATTGCTCTCCAGGGCTCTCTCTGTCACTCTCTACATCTAACTGGTTAATTTGTCATGACTTTCCGCGTATCCCACAACCTCCTTCTCCTTTCCACTCATGCAGTCATGACAACCACCATACACCTCCACCACCCATGACCCTACATCCATCCATCTCCACTCTTGTAACTTTACACACAAACATCATCACCACCAGTGACCCACCCCCACCTCCACCACGTGACTTCATGTTCATCCACCTTTATCATGTGACACTATGTCCATCCACCTCCACCAAGTGACCCCATGTCCATCCACCTCTACCATGTGACCTCACATCCATCCACCATGTGGCCTCACATCCATCCACCTCCACTACCACATGACCCACATCCATCATTCTGCACCATGTGACTACATACACACCTTTCCCCCACTCCTCACAGCCAACCCCTGGGAGGTAACATAGCTGATTACATAAAAAGCCTTGCCTGACAATCTTTAAGGCTCCCCACTGCCTATAGGCCCACTGTCTAAGATTCCAGTGAGCACAAAGGTGCTCTTGTATCTTTAAAGCTGCTGGTCTCTGACTTCAAATAGCTTGTACATGGTGCTACCCCAGTGCCAGGAGAGAAGTGGCCGGTGTGGAGGGAGAGGCTGTGGCACCTGGGCCCAAACCACAAGATGAGACCTGACTAGTCATGTGCAGATCTATGAATCAGCAAATCCCTTTGGAGCACAGAGGTGGTCTACACACTGGCCCCCAGGGGCTCTGGGAGGCAGTGTCCCTTCTTCCTTCCTTCAGCAGCAAACAGTCATGGCTTTCCACATCTGCTGTCCCCAGTGCAATGGCTCTGGCTGGGTAGAAGTAGCAGCATTCACCCAGGGAACCTCAGACTAAACAGTATCACAGCTAAGCACCAGGAAGAGGCGGCAGAATTGCTCACAGCCCCTCCCCTCCCACTTCAGCCGCCTTCCCCACAGCCAAAGTGTGTTTGCAAAAGTTCTTCTACAGGCATCCCACACCCTGGAATATGCACAAAGCTAAGGCCCGCGCGCGCACACGCGCACGTGCACACGCTCATACACACACACACACAGAGAGAGAGAGAGAGAGAGAGAGAGAGAGAGAGAAAGAGAGAGAGAAAGAGAGAGAGGGAGGGAGGGAGGGAGAGGCATGGGCACACAGCTGTTACAGTGATGTAGGAGGAACACTGTGCAGGTCTCACTGTAGGAGTTCTCCCAAGACACAGATATCCAATAGGCCAGCCCCAACTCTTGGAGGCCAAGAAGGGATAAGGCTGATCCTCAAACATACCAGTCCCAATTCCACCAGAGGCCATGTCTTTGGGCAAGTTCTTTGTTACATATCATCGTGAAATCGAATTGTCAAAATTAATCAAGTGGGCAGGCCAAATGGCTCAGCAGGTAAAGGTTCTTGCTGCCCAGTTTGACCCTCTGAGTTCAATCCCCAGAAGGAGAGAATCAGCTCCCTCTGGTTATCCCCAGACCTCTATAATATACAACCTGGTACATGTACTCACCACCCCCAATAAGTAAGTTAAGAAATATGCAAAAAGTTAAATTAACAACACTGTGCCAAGGGACTGCCCTGATGGGGTTGCTACCCTGCTACTGAGGCATGGGGGAGGGGGGGACGGGACCAGATCAGTCTTGTTCTGACACAGGCTTGGGAACCCTCCTTCAGGCACAGGTAAGGGAAGAGGTAGCAAGATGGAAACATCTGCCTGGCCTGGGTCTGAGTCCCCTTCACCAACAGGACCTGTGCCACTCTCCTGCAGGGTGGCAGCTGCAAGGAGAGTCCCCTGCACCAGGCAAACAGGCAGCCTTCCCTAAGCCCTTGCTGTGACCCAGCCAGGCTGGATGCTCTAGGCAGGGGAAGAGAATAGAGCAGGCCTTAGCCGCCAGGCGGATTTCTTGTTTAGAAAGAAATTGGGTCCTGTGCCACGCACAGTCCCAGCTTGGCTGGCAGTCAAGTTGGCAGCTGACGGATAAACACTAAGCCAGTGCCCTGAGTAGGGCAGGGTGGCCTGCATGGTCAGATTGCAACCTAGGCTGGTTGCACTGGCAAAGGCCTTGGTAAGTTATCCTAATACATGTGTGTCTAGGCTGGGCTGCCTGACCTGCTCAGGTATCCTCAGCCAAGACCCTTGCAAACTCTACCAGGATAGAGTGAGCAGGGGGCTCTGCAGGCTTGGAGCTTGGCCTGGAGGTCCCCTCCCCCAGCTTCCTGCAGCTTAGCTCTTTCTCACGCTCCTCCTCCAAACTGAGCAGCCAGGGCCTCCCTCCCCTGGGCCACCCACTGCCCTCCTGATTCATTATTCTAATTATTTTTGTCACAGGCAATTAGAGCCAGCTTCCACCCCGAGGAGTTTCAGAGAAATGAAATGATCACTGGGGTCCCCAGGGCACCCTCTGATGAGGCAATTCCAGGACGCCTACTCACTATTGTGCTCCGGGTTTTGCTGTCGAAAAAAGAGTCCCTGTCAGTCAGGTCGAATCTGCAGGAACAGAAGGAGAAAAGGCGACTGCTATAGGCTCCAAGCCTGGGAACCCACCCTCTCTCCAGTAACAGTGACCATGATGGGCCTAACCATCCTTATAGCAGGTACAAGTCCCCTTGTCCCTCGGCATGGCCTTAGCTGATCTCATCAGCCCAGTGTGGGAAGCTCTGACACCTCTGTTGCTGAGAAGGTAACTGAGGGTACCCTCCAGCTCCAGTTTGTTGTTTTGTTTTGTTGAAGACAAAGTGTCATGTAGCCCAGGCTGGTCTCCAACTGCTGTACAGATGAGGATGGCCTGGAATGCTCATCCTTCTGCCTCCATCTCCTTAGCACTGGGATGGAAGGCATGTGTGACCATGCTTGGCCAAGCCTGGTTTTGATGAAATAAAATCCCAGAAGGCAATCTTACAAGCTCCTGTTTCAATGTCAAGGGGACAGGAACGGTGTCATCCCTTTACATGATGGTTTAGGCTTTGAGGACACTCTCCTTGGAAATGTTTTGCATCCAGGTGTTCTGGGCCACACAGAGATTGCCTGAGGTTTCTGGGGCACGGGAATAACTCTGAAGTCACCATTCCCTGGGGTGCTTAGTGGAGAAGAGGGTGGAAATGAGCTGGGTTTGGACAGTGGGTGTGACCCTCATGCCTCTGAGCTGGCAGAGGTCACTGGGTGTCCAGTCTGCCAAAGACTGGCCAGTGTAGTCAGGGCAGCACATGGCTCCCCTAAAGTCACCACCATCTTTGCAAAGCAGAGACCTCTGTTATTAGCTAAAATGTGGGTGCATGCTCCTTGCCTCTGGCCATCCTCGAGGCCGGCCACAGCACCCCAAAGCCCTCTTCTCCTGGGCCTTGTCATACTAACTGCCTGAGCTCCTGGTACCCAAGCCTTTCCTCCCACTTCTGCTAATGAGGCCAGGCCTGTGGAGGCCTTGCAACTACTGCACCTGAGCCAGGTGGCTATGCACCACTGTCCCTTGGGAACAGGGAGGATGGAAGGTTCCAGAACAGACTGGGCACTGCCAGGCAACACACTGCTGGCTGTGGCTCTCTAGGGCCTTGGGACTCCCTTGAGGGGGGCTTCTTGATCAGTTGATTGCTGCCTCACCAGCTGCTCCAGGGGCTGCTGAGGTTTTGTGACAAGGAACCATGTTCAGAGGGACAAAGCTAGGATTGGGGAACCTAGACTTTAGCTCTAGCCAGGGCCCAGTCAGTTTTCCCTAAGCATCACCAAGCCAGGCAAGGCTCCCCAATCCCTTTCCTCTGTGATCAGGGCCCTTAGAAGCTGCTGTCTCAGCCTCTTCTGGACTCAATAGTAACAAAGTGCTTCTAAGAACATGTTCCCCTGTACTCCTGACTCACAGGTGCTGCTTCTCCCTGGAGAAGGGGTAGGAGAGCCTCTTTGTGGCCTGCGGTCTGTGCTCAGCCACCTTCGGCTGGATGGGGTCTGTGATCTTCTGCAGGACCGAGTTGATGGTTTTCAGGAGGCCTCGGGTCTCACTGATGTGGTACACCTGTGGGCAAGACCAGGCCAGGGCATGAGCCACTCTATTGAGCTCTGACTCTTGTGACAGTTGGTTACTATTTCCTGTCAGCTCGCTGCAATTTAGAATCACCACGAAAATAAGCCCAGGGAAGTGTCTGTAAGGAAGTTTCTAGACTGGGTTAACTGAGGTGGAAGCCCCACCCTGAATGTGGATGGCATCATCCCATGGGCTGGGGTCCCAGCCCGAATACAAAGGAGAGAGTGAACTGAGCACCAGCCTTCGTCTCTCTGCTTCTTGATTACTGATGCAACGTGACCAGCTCTCTCCCACTCCTGCTCCATGCCTTCCATACCATTATGGCCTCCCTAAACTGCAAGGCAAATAAATCCTTTCTTCATTATTAGGCTGCTTCTGTCAGGGAAATGTGTAAAGTGACTAAGTCATCCTATTCTCAAATGGTTGGAAAAGTACCCCACAATGATAGAGTCCTCCCTGGGAGCAGAGGGCCGGGGTAGCCAGTGTGCCTGTTATCTCCTCTGTTTCGAGCTTTACCCAAAGAACATAGCATTTTAGAAGAGTTGGGCCAAGAGATCAATTATAACACATTCTAGAAAACATTTGCCTCAAATGTCTCTTTTGTTTCCAAAGCTGTAATCCAAGTGGCTTCAGTGGATCTGAGAAGCCGAGTTGGACTTTTCCCTCTCTCACACACACACACACACACACACACACACACACAAATATGGACTCTCAGCCCAGCTTCCCTGGCAGGCTGCTCTTCTGCCATAAAGTTTTCAGAGATTAAAAGGAAAAATCCCAGCAAGCTAGAAAATGTAATTAAATTGTATCTGATAAATTATCTGAGACCCCACAGGCATCAAAGCAAGGCCTCAAGTTGAACTATATTTGTTCAGGTCAAATTCCTGGGACAGAGCAGGCAGCTTTTCTGCCGGGACCTTCTCCTCATGTCCTGGGGTGGGGGTGGGGTCTTAGGTGTTGCTCTTTCCTCTTTTAAGATTGTGTGTGCCTGTGTGTTTACATGTGTTTACATGTATGACTGTGTGTACTACAAAGGCCAGAAGAGGGCGCTGAATTCCCTGCAACTGACATCACTAGCAGTGTGAGTTGCCCTATGTGGTCCTGGGATCTGAACTCCAGTCCTCCTGCAAGAGCAGCTTAACTGCTATGGTATCTATCTAGCCATGGCCTAGAGTCTCTAAAGGCCCAGGTCAGATGCTTCATGGCGGATGGGAACTATCTCCTGTGTCCTCTTCCCCTCTTGCCTTTTCCATGTGATTAGGAGCTTGCAGTGATGATTCTGCTTCTGGTGTCCTCATACCAAGACTAGTGGTTTGTAATATAAACATTTCCACCCACCTTCTTCGTGGGCATCTTCAGTTTCAAAAACTCAGCCTCCCTGCAGAGCACGTGCCAGGGTGCATGGATCTTCACGAATCCGACACCATGGATTTTGGTCTACAGAGAGAAAAAGGGCTGTTGGTCAGGCTGTTTGGCAGCTAGGACCCCTTTTCGCCTTGGTACCCAGCTGTGACTGATGAGGTGTGGCTCCCTTTACCTGGCACCTGCCCCATCCAGACAATACCCACCATAGCTAGGGACCTCTCTCTCTCTCTCTCTCTGATTTATTGAGACAGGGTTTCGCTGTGTAGCTCTGACTGGTCCGGAATTCACTCTGTAGACCAGGCTGGCCCCGAATTTACAGAGAGCCACCTGCCTCTGCCTCCCAAGTGCTGGTATGAAAGGCGTGCCCCACTACTGCCTGGTACTAGGGAGCTTTCTTACATATAGCACTTTATGCAAGAATCCAGGGATCCCCCAGTCACAGCCAGGAGGGATCTAAAGAGGGGTCGAAAACACTTAGGAAGTTTTCAGGAATTAAGTGAGAACCCTCCCCCCCCCAAACCTGATAACAGCAGAGGACCATTCATGATTCCAGGTCCACTCCCTTCAGCCTTGACTGAGGCTCTCAGGGCTCACTCCACAGGTGCTCGTGTCGGGGCCATGCAGTCCTTTCTCTGACTGTAGCCTAACTCCACTTTTCCTGCATATCTGTGACTGCTATCCTTAAAGAGCTGACAGCATGACACAGGGACACCAAGAGTTCAAGTCCAGGTTCCCCTACAGTGCTGCTCTGACTTGGGACATGGCTGATGGCTAGTTTTGTCAGTGTGACACAATCTAACATCATGCTGGCCTGTGGATTTGTTTCCGTGGTGGACTGTCTTGAATAGAAGATTTGCCCTCTGTGGGTGGCACCATTCCCTGGACATGGGAGGCTAGATGTGTCAGAGTGGAAAAAATGAGTTAAGTATAAGCACACATGTATTAATTCATTGCTATTGACTGTGGATTCGGTGTGACCAGTTGCTTCCAGTTCCTGCTGCCTTGACTTCCCTGCAAGGATGGACTGCTTTCCCCTTAAGGCTATTTTATTACCATAAGCCATGTTTCTCTGTTGAGTTACAGGAAGGAACCCAAGGGCTACTGACTGACAGCCAACTTAATGGCTTCATAAGAACTGATTTCTGCCACCAGCTGGAAATGAAATGCATGATTGCCTATGCCCTTACAGAGGCCAGGACACTTAAGCTCATGGGGAAATTTCTTTAATCTACCAGCTCTTGGCTAATAGGGTCCACTCAATTCAGACTCAAGCTGTGCTTCCCCAATGGCAGAAGTGCCACCCCTGGCCCATGGTTCTCTGTAGACACATGTTCCTTGGAAGAGGTCCTTTATCAAGAGACATGTGTCTACATAGTCACACAAACATGCAGGACCTTGCCCAGATCGTTCACAGACCTTTCATGGCAGATTGGCGGTCAGCCCAAGGGTCTACAGACCTCTCTGGCTCATAATTTTGAGACCTGATGGAGCTTGTCATGAGGTATGGAGCTGCTGGTGTGACCTGTGCCCTCTGTCCCTAGGACCACAGGCTGAGTGAGCTGTCCAGCCCACAGATGTGCTGCAGTCTGATGGCTAAAACCCACCAGGCCAATGTCATCTGAAGATGGTCTATAAGAAAAAAAAAAACTTCTGGGATGCTGCAGTGGGATTGTTTTTGAGGCTTTTCTGCTGTCCTGGGCTACATGGTGAATTTCACCCAATCAACCAAATAATCAATCATCTGGAGTGGGTAACATAAACAAACTTGTCCAGACCTCAAGCCACAAAGTTGGTGCCTCTGGGAGTTGACACAGCAAGGCAGAGTACCAGGCAGAAAGAGGTACATCATGACAGGGATGTGGCAAAAGTTGGTGAAGTGCATGAGGTCCTGGGTTCAAGCCCCAGTACCCCATAACTGGGTGGAATGTTGTATGCCTGTAATCTCAGCACCAGAGATGTCATCCTCAGTTTTACAGGGAGCAAGCCTGAGATAATTAAGACTGTCACAAACAAGTATGATAATTCAGGCCAGAGCCCAGGGATGGAGGGCTTTGACAACAGGCTTGGTCTTCCTCTATGAAGAGACAGATTTCATCCCAGGATGGGATGCCATAAGCCCATAGGCTTATGACAGAGATCTCTGGTCCTTCTACTACCTCCTGGTGTAGATGGGATGAGTTTGGGAGGCCTGTGTGGTCTATGGCAAGTGTCTTAACCTCTCTGGACCCTGTTCCCTCACCTATAGGGCAGGTAATAGGAGGTCTGGTTTGCAAACAGAGGGCTCTGCTGCCCTTAGCAGCCAAGCCCAAACCTTGGGCCTGTAGGCAAAGTCAATACAAGGGGCTGAGCATAGCTTCAGATTGGCTCAGGTTAGGCCACGCCTGCTTTGGCCAGCATTGCCACAGAGTCCCCAGTCCCAGTGACTCACAGGCTGATGTCATGAGATACCCGAGTCAGGGGAGATGTCTTAGTGGCCCACGAGTGGTGGAGGCTAGTTTTTCCACTATAGACCAAGATGCATCCCTGTGTAATGTTCGCCCGCACGCTAATACCCAAAATATTCTTTACAGTCCCAGCATCCCTGGGAAAGTGGGTCCTGCTGACGTGAGTTCCCGGGTCTCTCCCAAGGAAACATCTGGTTAGTGAAGGGGTCGTGGGATCCATTTAGCAAAAATACACTAAAATGTTTTTTTTTAAATAAACGTGGTACCCAGCCTGACCACAGCCCTCCCACAGTAGGAGGAGCCTGGGGGATGTCCAGGTCCCTTCAGCCACAATCAAAGGCTGTGAAAGACTAAGTTCTAAGTTCTATCCCTACTCCTGATCACTGTGCTGAGACATTTGAAACCACAAATTCACAGACATAAGGCTCCAGGGAGGGCACAACCTAGCTAGGCTACGAGGATCTAAGAAGGGACAAGTCCCCAAGAAGCCCCCAGTCAGAGGATGTGAGGAGGGTTAGGTCCAGCCCCTGAGCTCCATATAGAGTGCAGCTGAGGAATTAGGCTTCTATCCTGAGCCCCAAGTGAAAGGACTCTGACCTCACTAGAGCTGTTCCAGAATCTTCAGCACTTGAGAGATTGAAGCAAATGGACTGCTGTGAGTTCAAAGGTGTCCTGCGATGCCAGCCTGGGCTAAATAGTGACTTCCAGGCTAGCCTGGACTACAGTGTAAGACTGTCTCAAAAACAAACAAACAAATGAAAACTAAACTAGAACTTTGACCACGCAGGTGGCACAAGTCTATAACCCAGATGGGCAGGAGAGTGAGGAGTTTAAAAGCAGCTTCACCTACATAGCAAGGTCAAAGTTAGCCATGGGACCCTGTCTCAAAAAAGGAAGGAAAGGAAAAGCAAGAAGGGAGATGTTAAACACAAAACTCCCAAACCCAAAACAAACAAACAACAAAAACAAAGTCACAGGGGTCCCATGAAAGGTTTGTGTGTCTGAGGACACCGCCACTCACCCTTGTGCCTGAAGCCCTTGTAGCAGGCATGGCAATGCCCAACTACACCTACCATCTGCCAGATGTCCTGATCCCCACCTGGCTTTCCCCACTGGCAATGGCTGCCTGCACAAGTGTGAGCTTGAGACATATGGCTGTGCTTCAGTGTGTACCTAGGATGGCTGGTTGCACGTGGCGCAGACTATTCAGTGAGTGATTGATAGAGGAAAGGAAGGAGCCAGTCTTTAGTAAGTGCCTACTGTGTACCAGATGGAGACAGCCTCAGCATCTGGCCTGGTCCCACCTTCTCTCAGACCTTCTGATCTACCTCAGTGTGTCCTTGCAGGTGATGAGGGGCTGGGAAGATCTGTAGACACTTGATCCAGATGTTTGAGCAGCAGGTGTGGCATGGGAACTCAATCTGGTGCTCACTTGCCATGCTCACTCCACTCCTCCACCCACACAGCTCCCAGAGGGTGGGGCATAGCCCATGGGGTTGGGATAGGTTGCCACTAGTATGGTGCCTGGGTGGGGAAGTGTTGCCCGCTAACTAGCATGCCCACAGTGTGGGTACTGCTAGCCATGTTCACAGTGTGAGGGAGACCTGGAGTCTATGGCAAGGATGGGTTTGGTGCTTACCCACCCTTAGGGAAATGTCCCCTTGATTCTATCCTCATATCTGAGCCTTGGGCTCCAGGGAGCCACGAACTGGCTCTCAGTGGGTGGACCAGGTTCACTTGCCCTTTGCCAAGAATATGGCAGAGACAGGCCCTGGATGTGTTTCTCTCCAGCCCTGTGCCTGAGGCCTGCTGGATGATAGAGAAATCAGCAGACAGATCCAGTCACACCTCTGCTGCCACTGAAGGTGGAGCCAACCACCCAGGGCAATCCTCCATGGAAAACAAAAAATACTGGCTGCAATTAGAAAAGAAGAAGATTAATGCACTGCCTTTAAGATTCTGCACAGCTGGTACCAGGGCAAGGAACTGCAAGGCATGCCATGACAGCAAATGTAGATCCATTGAGGACAACAGAACCATGTCTTCAGATGGTGGTGAAATCCACCTTGTGGTGGTAACCAGGCCTGGCTTGAACTGGCTTCAGTGGCCACCCAGCCATGGTAGGAAAGAACAGGCTGGAGATGCTCCCATGAGGTCTAGGTTGGTGGCCACAGTAGAGCTTGAGGGTACAGCAGGATTTACACCCCAGGAATGGGCAGACACCACCAAACAACCTCACACTCTCAAGGTGGGCATGCTTGCTGCTCTGAATCACCTTAAAGAGCATGGAGAAGGAAACTCATTAAGAGAAGGCAAAGAAGAAAGAGGAGTAAAAACATCTGTGAAGGCACAGTGACTTCACCGGTGACTGTGGCCCAGGACAGTTCCTACCATACTCAGCTCAGGCCCTGGGAACCTGACTGTTTCAGAAGGTCCTGGATGGGCACAAAGACAGCTGAGCCCACAGGGTGTAAACAACCCAGGGATATGGCTAGGGAGAACCAACAAGTGACAGAGACAGAAGCCAGTGCTCTTGGCCAGAAAGTATTAGCTCATTAGATGGATGACAGACAGGTCAGCCCTGCTCACCTCAATTAAAGACATAAACTTCAAGACAGGAAGGCCTGC